CCCCAAAACCCCAAAACCCCAAAACCCCAATTTTTTATTAATAATTGAAAGTTTTCTGAAGCGTAGAAATTCTAAAATATTCAAATCATTTCAAGATTTTTAACAATATGATAGATGGAATGGTTTAATCCAAATCCTTTGAAATCTTGGTGGGAAACACATCAGATACCGCTATCTCTACATCTGGTCTTTTGTTCTTGATTCTGTCTTCAATATACATAGATAAACATCATTTTTCCAAGTGTAGGACTTGCAAATTTGGCAAATTATCTTCTCAAGAGAGCAAAGTGCCTATAAATTTACCTTTCTCTGGCTCATCAATATCCAAGCAATCAACATCACCATGCTCGAAATGTCCAAGATGATAAATTTTCAAATTCTTGTGCTTTCAAAGGCCTACAAGGGCTTCTTCTTTCACCCAAGAATCTCCACTCATGTTGAGTTCTTCCAAGTATGGGCATCCTTCAGCCAGTGGCTCAAAGGATTCCTGGATGGGGCAATCCTGGAGGTTGAGAACTTTTAAATTTTTTCAGCATGTAGCAATGTTAGAGACTCAGTCCCAATCAAAGTTCCTACAATAGACCACTTCTAGAGTCTCAAGCTTAGTTGACTTCTCAAATGCCTTCAGGCATTTGTCAGTGATCTTAGCTGAAAATTCTAGATAGTTTCTGTAAATAGAAAAGGATTTGAGACTATCTCAAAACCTTTCATTTATCAACTCAATAGACTTTTCACCGATCTTGACACAGTAGTGAATCTTGAGAGTCTCTATAGGTTCGATTGGAGCCCCATGTCAACATGATGGTGATCTTCTTCATCAGAATACTCATCCCAATACTCATCCTTCTCTTCATCCATAGTCCCTCACAGCACTCTGATTCCATCAAGACTGATATTACAGTTATACTCTTCTGGCTTGCCGCCAAATTCCAGCCAAGTGAGTAAGGGGCAGTGCTTTGCTATAACACCAAAAATCCCATTAGTAATATTCGGAGAATTAACTATCTTCAACTCGACCAGACCAGGGAACCTGTCTAGAGGGATCTTTGTCATCGGACTCTCGTCTATTTCCCCGTACAGCTGCTTACTCTTTGACTTATTTGCTTCCTTTGGCATCTTCGATTGCCACGAACTCACTAAGTTCGAACTTAGTGAGCAAGGGGAACTCGAACTGGCCGAACAAGTGCACAAGGTCCTCCTTGCAGTTGTCCAAGGACAACTCTGTGAGAGTGTCCTTGTTCTTCTGAAGATACTTGTACAAGTTGTTCTTCTTTTCCAATGGCGCATCTAAGAGTTAGAAGAAACTTACTGATCTTTAGAGTATCAGCCAAGCTTAAAGAGCTAAAGTTGTTGTCTTGCACAGAAGGGTTCATACTGGTATTTGGAGTTTATTTTATATAATTTATACCATAGTTGGGGTTTTGGGGTTTTGGGGTTTTGGGG